ATAGAATATTCTGAGAATAAGTCTCAAATTACTCATACATTCTCTCGGGCTGACCAACCTATACTTATATTAATTTAAGAACAAGTCCCAAATTACTCTCGGGCTGACGACGTAAAACGTTATTAAGGTATATAAAAATACGTCTAATACTGTAGTCTCTCAAACAACGTTCTACGCCGTCATCCCGAGAGTGATTTGGGGCTTGTTCTTAAATTGATATATGTATGGGTGAGTCAGGCCGAGAGGATGTATTAGTAATTTGAGACTTCTTCTCAGATTTTTCTATTTATAGGACACGGGCCACCGGCTAGCCGAGAGCCGAGGCCCGAAACTGAGAATTCGTAACAGGGAAAGCAAAATATTTATTTATAATTATTTTGTTCTGCATATGGTTTCTCATTCTGATCATTTGAGATTTTGCCCTGGCCAACCCAAGTAATTGAACACTAGTACAAACACCATCAGTATATAACTGAGGGTGAGATCATAAATATAGTCATTCGAACGCACTATTCTTTAAATATATTTGTACTCTATTTAAAGTCTACTGTATTACACTCTAACACGAAGGGAAAAATACTACTACTGGTAGCCGTGATGCTGTCTATAATAAGCGAAATTCGAAACTCATTTGGCGATGAGTACGATAAGTAAGATAAAATAGGTTGTCAAGGAGCAACAATCTAGACCAATAAGAAAATTTTGCATAGCGAATTATTTTATGCAGCACTCCAATAAAGCTTACATTGATATAATTGTATGTTCAAACAGATGTTCAAACAGGTTATAGACCTTTTTAAAACTTATATGATAGCATGATTAACTAGAGCAGGACTCTGACTTCATGTACATACGAACAATCGCCTACCATAACATTTATATAAGCACAAGAACAATCGCCTACCATAACATTTATATAAGCACAAGAACAATCGCGATATGCACATCAGCATCAGATTCACACGTGTATTTATTTTCGAATCAACTTTACAACATACTATAGCATCAACATCATTTCGAATACACGTGTGTCCCGCGAGAGCCACATCAACGACCTGCATAAACCTTAAAACCCCTACTACTCCTTCTAGATACGTTTACGACAGACTTGCAGTCAACAACAAGGATATACAGTATATATTATCGTACAATAGTCTACTTATTAATAAAATTATACACAACTACTTTATGTTTCAGTGCGACCTATAAGCACTCAGACTATCGCTACAGATATTGACGACGTACTTATAATAATCAACAACGATTAACAGTATTTATCATCACACAATGGTCTACACAATTGTATACAATACAAATATGCGATCCACCTCATTTGTTCAACACTGTCGGTTAAGCAAATAAGTTCGCCGTACGCTTCCGGCCAGAACTCGAGGTTGGAGAAGCTAAATTAGAAAATCATCCGAGAAAAGTATGATGGTACGAGATTGTATGACTAGGTGACGAACTCGACCATCTTGGTCACGAACAAATCAATGTACAAGAAGAATGGTGAAGGGGTTTATAACCAGCCACCACCATCAATGTATAAGAAGAATGATGAAGGGTTAATAATCAGCCACCACGACAAAAAAAGTACCACTGAAATTTTGCACACGTAAGCTCAAAAATAGCTGAAGCGAGTTGATCAATACATTGATGAATCTCTTACGTCAAGAACAAAAACACTGCAGCAGCTAAATAACTCGACTATATATAT